TTTGCTGTTGGAGCTGGCGGGGGGAGTGTGTCAATTGTAGTTGTTTGGGGGGGGGAACAGGCAGCTGACTTTAACCCACTCCAACCGCCTTCATTCTTTCCCTGACACTAGCGTAACATTTTATTTTCGTAACTCTTGTTCAGTGTCCAGTTATATTACAACTGTTTTGCTCATATTTTTAATTTTTAAAAATATTCGTATTTTGTTAAGTTTATACTGTGCCTAAGACGTCTGTGAGGGCGCACCACGCATGAATAGGCAACCCTGCTGAAGAACTGTATGTGTGCTCAACGGGTTTTCCTGCATGGCGATTGTGGATCTCGTCGTTTGTTGAAAATAGAACCTACTAATTCACTGATGATGACGCGCACTCAAAGACATTTTAGACACAAAACGGTAAGAAAGTCATGAAGACTGGAAGGCCATGGAATGTGTGTGGGATATGTTACGATTTTGTTCATTGGCGGTGAAATTTTACGAGACGTTATCAAGATGGCTGTCTTCGGGAATATGGTGTCTTCTAGTTTAGTAAACACGTGGCACTAGGGAGAAATTTGTGCTTCCATCTTCATAGTAGAAAGATATTTAAAAAAAGTACTTTTCATGTTCGCCATTGGAAGAGCCTGGGGTCTGCTATCATCATTGTCATCAAGCAGTCAAGCCCTTCCTGGCCTCGTTCGCCACGGTTTCCTGATCCGTGGGGTTTGTAATTTTAAATAGTTTCCAAAGTCTCTTTGTTTACATTCCGTTGACGTGTTGAAGTACACTGCCTCGGTACTTCGGGTTTGTCTCCAGTAAGGGCTTTGTGTAGAGTTCTTCTAATATGCGTTCCATTCGTCTTTAGTCTACCCAAAAGTGTTGCTCCATTCTCCTCACACATTTCATTTCAACTGCTGTAGTTCTGATCGTCCCTTTTACTTTCATTGTCCGGCTTTCACCCCCAAGCAGAAATGTCGGGTAACGCGGTAAAGTGATGAGCATTATTTTCTACGACATGATTCCGTAAAGGACATAATTTTCGTACAATTTTCTCTTAGGTCACTGAACTAATACGTATTGATGGGAAACAGTAAATACATTATAGAACTACAATAAATAATAGGCAGAAATAGTCCTACCCGTTGTTCGCCTGGGATACGATTTGCTTCCTCGCCAGTGTCACAATATATTGTAGCTGAAACTTCAAATAAATAATGACAGAAAAATTAAAAGTTTGAATTTTATTCATGGGTGGGATTTAAATGAAACAAATGAAGAACAGAAATGAAAATTCAAATCGCGCCTAGAAACTCTATCGAAATAATGGCACATCACTTTTACAGCTGTGGCTGTCATACATAGTGGCAAGAGTATGTAGTAAATTTCTTAGTTTCCATGTCCTCTTAGCTCCGCGATAAGGAAAACAGACTGACCAGTTCCATTTCTATATTGGTCTCTATCTGAGTAGTATTTATAGCTGCTACAAATCAGTAGATAAGTATGGTCAAACACGTTCACATAACGTTCACATACCCTACTCGACGCACAGTTGTTCATAGAAACTACAGGGTCTATCGAGCGTACATAAATTAATACAATTAAAAAAGGTAAAACTATCCCTGTAGCAGGCCTTGAAGGCCCATAGGGTTCTGAGACGTCGAGGCTCCCACATTTTCTCTAGAACATCGGCTCATAGATGACGGCAAGTTTGTCAGCCTTACGCGCCTGCCGCCCTTTGCCTCCAGGAAGATTTCTGGTACTCCTTTCTGTTAGAGGCTGAGTCGATCCCAGGGCCATAGTGCGGCTAGAAGGATT